TTGAGGTATATCTAAGGGGTGGGAGAAGGCCTTAGATATATATGAGTAAAAATGCGGAATACATTAAAGTGACGGGAGCAGGGCTTGAATATATTGAGGTGATTGGAGCAGGCCTCTAATGAAAAGTGAAAGTTGAGAAATTCATAAACAAAAGAAAACTGGGTTAAGGGATGGATGAGCGCTAGTTTATATTTTAGGGTATTCGGAGTCGCAGTGGTAAAACGAATGGTATGGGACATCTAGGCTTGTTGCCCTAAGGTATGAATTAGTGGGATTAGAAGGGAGTGAGTTCATGGCATCACTGCATATGCAAATTTATTTATCTGGTATGGTTGCATAATTTATGTATCTTGTATTGTTTGATGCATGAAACTTTGATTAACTGTGATAGTTGACCTTTGTCACATAATCAGCTCCGCCGTAGCACAATATTGTCCTCTTTGGGCCTATCTCTCTGCTTTCATGGTTTTGTTTTTGGGAACTCACGAGCAACTTCCTAGTGGGTCACCCATCCTGGGATTGCTCTAGCCCCAACTCGCTTAACTTCGGAGTTCTCATGACTCCGAAGCCAGTGAGCTCCTAAAAGGCCTCGCACTAGATGAAGGTGGATATGTACATATAAGACACATCACCCCCTCTCCGTTGATCGATGTGAGATGTTACATTAAGGGGTTTGACGATACTGTACTGGGCATTAGAATGCTCATACCCTAATAGATGGTGCAGGATTCAAGGCCAAGTTTGAGGGAGCGGGTTTCAACCAACCTACTAGGCTTTTGTTGTTGATTTGTGTACTTAATAATTGTAAGTAGTCAATCGTTTAATAAAAATATTAGTGTGTATTGAACTACGAGCTACTGCGACTCTGATTTTGTGTTGTCAAGTAAATTTGTATTAATTGTGGCTCTATTTCTCATCATATCATGGTTGTAGGATTTTATTCTTATGACTATGGTATGACTCATACCATGATTTGGGAATATTTCTTATTTTCGAATCGGGTCATAACACAAGATATTTGGCTCAGAAGAATATTTGAAGACATGGGTGAGTGCCTAAATGAAGCTACAAAAATACTTTGGGACAACAAGTCTGCTATAGCCATGACAAAAAATCCAGTGTTCCACAGCAGGACAAAGAATATCGCCATCAAGCATCACTTCTTACGAGAAGTCTTAGCAAATAAAGAAGCTGAGCTCAAGTACTGCAAGACAGAGGAGCAAATCGCAGACATCTAACTAAGGCACTTCCAAGACCAAAATTTAAATTGCTAGAAAGCATGCTCGGAGTAATACAAATGTGCATTAAGAAATATCATTGATGAGGGATTAGGAGTCCCAACCTCTCTAGGGTTTGTAGTCGTTCTCTCAGTAGCAGAATATATCAAATGTATGCAATCTCAAATCCAGCTGGTGACCCATGCTTGACAAATGATCACCAGCAAAATTCATCTCTCTAAACACATTCCATTCAAAATTCAGGAATCATAGTGATAGCAGAAAAATTTCCTATCTGAATTGAAGTCCCGATTGATTATATATAAGAGCCTTTCCACCCATGCAGCCCAGCCCGAGGCTAGGGGGAAAAAAAAAATGGCTTTCCAGCGGAGCAGCCCGGGGGGGGGGGGGGGGGGGGGGGGGGTGTGGGACCCACCTCCTCGGGCTGGCCCGAAGGCAAGTCTTACCCGAGGTCCAAAACGAGGGGGGTTACTGTAGCGCTACAGTACTGCTACAGTACCTCGCTAATTTGATTTTTTTCCCTGTTGCCACGTGGCGTCGTCTGGGCTCTCCGATCTGATTTTTTCCTCCAATCCAACGGCAGCCAATTTTTTTGCAATAAAATACTGAAAAAAATTCGGAAATTTTTTTAAAAAATACCCAAAAATTAATGAATTTTTTTCTATAAATACCAGCCTTTTTTTTTATAATTTATCTGAAATTTGAAATTGAAAATTTTATCCGATTATGAGATATGAATAGTATTGACACGTAGGAACCCGAAAATATTATCCAAATTAATTATTGGGATAAAAAAAGTTGTGAATAAAACAAAAAATGAATAGTAACTGCCCTTAGCAAGGGCAACGGGTAACACAAAATTCGGATTTTGCAAGGGCAACCACTATTCACGTGAATAGTGGCTGCCCTAGCTCCCCCCCTTGCCATGGCTAAGGGCAAATGGGTGGAGTTGCTCTAAATGCATCAAATCAAACCCAAATCCAGAAAGAAAAATAAAAGAGAAATTAACGAACAATATGCATCATCATCATCACGAATTGAATCCAGAAAAGAAAAACAAATAATATATCGGGTATAGCAAACAGAATAATTAAGAAGATACCTAGTATGAGTAATAATTAAGGTAGCTAGCTAGTTATATGAGTACTAGTGAGTGAGTCATATCCAATCCTGTGCCACCATCTTGTCTGGAAAATAAACATTGGACAAGAAGCTCCTCCCTAAGGGGGACAACGCGTCAACTTCTACTTTGCTGCGGGTCTCCACCATTTTGTTGGTCTCAATACAATTGACTCCATTTGAACACAGCACCTCCTGCAATCAGTTTGACAATAGTGAAACCCCAAAACTGAAACATTCCTTAAAAAGTAGTTGCCCTTAATTCTGTGTCCTTTGCATTTTTATAATAAGAAATTGTAACTAATACATCTCTTAAAAAGCCTTCAAACATTTACTCTTCATCTTTCTAATCCCAGAAATTTTAAGTCACTGTAACTACAAATGGTGTCAGTTCCGCTATAGCTAGGCTGCATTTGTTCATAAGCTGATAATACAAATTAATAAGTTGAACAATGACAAGGAATGAGTGAGATCATTAACGTAAGAAAACCAATTTCAACAAAGGCTTAAGGTACTTAAAATCATCATGTTCAGTTACTCTTGCCTCGACAATACAATTGGCTTTGATCCTCATTTGCTAATTTTTGTTGTTGTGTATGGTTCTGGTTTGAGTAAGCAGAGCAGGTCATGGCTAAAAAGATTAATGTGTTTTGCCGCTACTATATTCCATCTATTCTTCTGCTTCCTTATCAAACCCTCCAATACCTCTACCCCCAAGCTTTCATTTCAAGTCTCAAGGGCCTCTAACGACCTTTTCCACAACCTCAAAAAGCTGATGGAATCCAAACCCATGTTCCCATTGAGCTAAAACTCTCTTCTTCCATCATCACAGAATTCGAATTTGCTCACCATGCTCCTGGTGTTGCTAGGATGAACAATGGCAGCTTTGGTTGCTGCTCTGCTTCTGTCATCTCTGCCTTGCATAAATGGCAGCTCAAATTGCTCCGCCAGCCGGACCATTCCCACATATCTTCCAAAAACTATTGACATTTTCAAAAGGAATCTGATTTTCTCACTCCTCTTTCTACCACTTACACTCTCTCAGTTGAAAATTATATGTTCTCACTCCTTTTTTGTGTACTTACACTCTCTTGGTGGAAATTGTATGTTACATTAAACAATATTAAGAAGGAAAAATGAGTGTAAGTGAACAAAATGGGAGTGAGAAAATTAACACCCTCTAAATATTTGGCGTTTAAATTTTTTTGGACTCTTAATGTTGTACCCCTTAGAGCCCAATGGTTTTCGGGCCTAATGAGAGTGATATCCTTGACATAGGAACCCCAAAACAGAATATATCCAAAAATAAGATTGTTGCCAACAACCTAGCTACAGTTGTTGACCAGCCACTGAATTTGGGGTTAACATATTTAAGTGAGATTAATTTAACACAACAGTCCACGTGATTAAGATCCCATGAAGCATCAACTCTTCAACATGAACCTTCTCGGTTACATACGTGCAGTCTAAGATACAGACTTTGATACTTTAAAAATAGAATGATGTTAGTTGAATCAATGATTGATTATTGATTATTGATTATTAAAGCATGGGCAACAACCAAGCCATAATTAATTATTGACCCGGCACTGTATGCATGAAATATGTGTTCATTTGTTTGTCGTACGATGAAACATCAAACATGTGTTCATTTCTTAGTTCAGTTTTGAATTTTCTCAGTTTTCAAGTGAAAGTGACGCTATATGAACAGTATGTGAAAATTAAACATACCTTTGCCTATATAAAACCCTCGAAAGAAAACCAGGAAAACCATACAATTTACAAACAAAATCTCTACAATTTTCATACACCTTGTTTCCATTATGGATTCTAAAACAAACTTTCAAGCTGATGAGCACCAAAGACGATCTGCCAATTACAAGCCAAATATTTGGAAGGATAGTTTTCTTGAATCTCTAAACAGCAAATACATTGTGAGTTCTCTTTGTCCTAATTAACTTTTCTCGATATATTAATAATTTTATTAGATTTTTACTACAAGAATGACACATTAATTAACTGAGTGTGCAGGGAGATGATTATTCAAGGCAGTCTGAGAATCTAATAAAAGATGTGAAGAATATGATGTTCGTTAAAACTGAAGATTTGATATCTCAGTTGGAGTTGATTGACAGCCTTGGAAAACTAGGCCTCACGAACCACTTCGAAAAGGAAATCAAGGAAGCCCTAGACACTGTTAAAAATAGCAACCCATGCATAACAGAGAACCTTTATGCTACTGCGTTGCACTTTAAGATCCTCAGGCAGCATGGCTATAAAGCATCGCAAGGTAAATATAATGTATAATAATGTTATTTGTATCATATTTATTTATTTAGTTTTTAGGATATTTTCTATTGAGAGGGACCACAACATACTAAACTCACACACGTATGCTAGTATTCGAACTTAGAACCTTTCATGGGAGAGCAATTGCTCCAAAACACGAGTCCTTTGCTTTACTTTATTTATTGACTACTTCGCTGACCACCTCTATCAATGTATGTGAGACTCACTTATATTAGAGAAGTGGTCAGTAATCATACGTAAATGTATTTATTTGTTATTTCATGTTATTTAACTTTTCAAATAGCCTTAATATTAATGTATGGGGTGAAAACACTTATCTCTACGTACGTGTAGATGTTTTTGGTGGCTTCATGGATGAGAAGGGTGCATTAAAGGAAAGCAATTTTTGGGATGTCAAAGGCATGCTTGAACTTTTGGAGGCCTCAAACCTGGCTTTTGAAGGCGAAAGGATCTTAGATGAGGCCAAAGCCTCCTCTACGGTAGCTCTCAGAGGTTCCAAAGTCTGGAATCTGGACAATAACCTTGCCAGGCAACTGGTCCGTGCTTTGGAGCTTCCATCACACCGAAGAGTAGGGTGGTTTAATGTCAAATGGCAAATACACGCCTATGAGAAAGACAATCACGCCAACACCATTTTATTACTTGAATTGGCTAAACTCAACTTTAACATGGTTCAAGCAGCACTGCAAAACGATCTAAGGGAAGTATCCATGTAAGTAAAAGCAAACAAATCGTTTATCTTCTTTTTGGAAAATGAAACAATATTATGTTGAAAATTTGGTAACTTGTTGCTTTGGGTTCTGATCGATGTGTCATTAAAGGTGGTGGAACAATCTGGGCCTCAAAGAACACTTGAAGTTTGCGAGAGATAGACCGGTCGAGTGCTTCATGTTTGCTGTAGGATTAAATTTCCATCTTGGCTACACATCTTTTAGAATTTTGCTTAGTAAAGTCATCAACTTGATTCTGATAATAGACGACGTTTATGACATTTATGGCTCATTGGAAGAGCTAAAGATCTTCACCAACGCCGTCGATAGGTACCTTTGCATTGCAGCAGTATTAAATTGGGGTTAGTTTCATAATTAATGTCTAAAATTCTCATAAATTAAAATTGCCTTAAATTTAGGTGGGATGTTGGGGTAACCGAGCAGCTTCCAGAGTGTATGAAGACCTGTTTCCAAGTGCTCTACAACACTACTTGTGAATTTGCTCATGAAATTGAGGAGGAGAGTGGTTGGAATCTAGCATTACCTCATTTGAGCAAAGCGGTACAAGCCTAGCCCCCTTTGTTTTATTATTTGTTTTTCGGTTTGTTGTTTTGTTTAATTTTATATACCTTTACATATATATTATATGGTTGAACTTGAAATTATTTGTTTGACTCTTAGTGGGCAGATTTCTGTAAAGCATTATTAGTAGAAGCAGAGTGGTACAGCAGGAACTACACACCATCCCTTGAAGAGTACCTAAGCAATGGATGCATTTCATCATCAGTTTCAGTCCTTTTGGTTCATACATTTTTCTCCACAACCCATCGTGACGGAATCAAAGAGATTGCTGATTTTCTGCACAAGAATGAAGATCTTGTGCATAACATATCTCTGATAGTTCGGCTCACCAATGATTTGGGAACTTCCACTGTAACTTTTCTTTCTTTATTAATTTTTCTTCTTGATGAAACACGGCGAAATCTAACCAAATTGCTATAGTTTTTTATTAGTTTTTACAGCCTACTTCCATAGTTTGATTAATTAATGAATTGATTAACAGGCTGAACAAGAGAGAGGTGATGCTCCTTCAGCAATCCTATGTTACATGCAAGAGATGAATGCTTCTAAAGATATAGCCGAGACGAAGATTAAGGGCATGATAGACAATGTGTGGAAGAAAATAAATGGGACATGCTTGAGAACCCCACAACAAGTGCCTTTTCTCTCACCATTCATCAACAACATTGCCCCAAATATTGCGCGAATGGCGCACAGCCTTTACCAAGGTGGAGATGGATTTGGTGATCAAGAACAAGGCTCTCGGCTGATCCAGTCTGTGCTAGTTGAGCCTTTACCACTTTGAAGAGTTGGAATCTAGAGAGTTATCAATAGTGTTTAATAAGTATTCTGTAAGATTACATCCACAGTAAGGTGAGCTTCTGTTAAAAATAATGCATCATCTACAGTTTAAATTTAGAAAATAAAATTATTAGTTGCATCTTTTCTTACAGGTTTCTTATAAAGAGTTGTATCTGTTGACTCTATGAGAAGTTGTATTTTTTAGATATCAAAAGTTGTGTCCAAGATTGTGTCTTATCATTTAAAGGTGTAAATGTAATTATAAATAGCCAATGTTATAGGCTGCTGTTGTATCGAAGAATTTAATAAAATCAGTTTGTCTAATTCTCTGTTTTACAAACACTCTCTGCCGTGCTTTGTGATCATTCGCCCAACAGCTTCCACTATATTTCTGAATGAATATTTCTGTATTACACACTCACATTCGCGCTCATCTTTAGAAGAAAGGGAAGAGAGAAAATAACAGAAAAAGAGGAATCCCACTGGGTTTGGGATCAGAAGAAATATCGTTGATGAGGGATTTGGAGTCCCACCCTCTCTAGGGTTTGTAGTCATTCTCTCAGTAGCAGAGTATATCAAATGTATGCAATCTCAAATCCAACTGGTGACCCATGCTTGCCATATGATCTCCAACAAAATTCATCTCTCTAAACACATTCCATTCAAAATTCACTCATATAATTTAAAGAGTGAAAAACGAAATTCAGGAATCATAGTGATAGCAGAAACATTTCTTATCTGAATTGACGTCTCGATTGACTATATATAAATGCATCAAATCAAACCCAAATCTAGAAAGAAAATTAACAAACAATATGCATCATCATCATCACCATCACCATCATCATCCAGAAAAAGAAAAACAAATAGTATATTGAGCATGCCAAACAGAATAATTTAGAAGATACCTAGCAATAATTAAGGTAGCTATAGCCATATATGAGTACTAGTGAGTGAGAGTCATATCCAATCCTGCTCTCCCATCTTGTTTGGAAAATAAACGTTGGACAAGAAGCTCCTCCCTAAGGGGGACAATGCGTCAACTTCTACTTTGCGGCGGGTCTCGACCATTAGCGTCAGCTCCTCAACCCATTGTGGACGTTCCTTCACGACTGCATCTTTTTCCAAGAGACGTTGCGCTAGCTTAAGATCCTTTCTATTCATGGGCCGCATACACCGTGGATGCATTTTTAACGCCACCACATCACTAGGCCGGAGTCCCAACCACTTTATGTCGCATCCTCCTGCTACGAAAAGAGAGAAATTCTTCACTGACCGTGGACTACTGTCAGCAATGGCTAACACTGGGAGATCCAACTGGTACTTCATCTTCCTTACCAAGGAGATCGTATCCTCTTCGGGCACGGGGTCTGGTGTGTAGACAATGATACAAGGAAACCTACGATCAACCTCATCCTTGGTCAATCGAAAGTAAGCGCCGTAACTCCCAACCACCAGTATTATATACTCTGCGTTGTTTTCCTTCATTACGTGCTCTATTTATTTTTCGAGGTGATTCTCGACCAAAAACTAAACAAGAAAAAGAAAAAAGAAATTTGATCTTCCTCCCACCTTACACAGTCTTCTTGCTCCTTCTGCTGTTTCAGAGCCATATCTCTCATCATCACCAACAATCTTGCCATAACTACCAATGGATGACCAAATCTTAGAAAATCTTAGAATACTGAAGTCATCTATGGTTACTGTCCTAAAGCCCCTTGAAGAAATTTATCCTCCACCAGCTGACCTCCAGTTCATTGAGGTCAAATATAGACCTCATGGTGAAATAATAGAAGGTCTCCGTGATTTAATTGTTGCAGCTCAAAAAAATATTGAAGCTGGAATAACCCCATGCTTCCCTTTTCTCGTACGAACCGAAAGTACCCAAGTTTTCTCCACGGATGCAAATCGTTATGTGCTGAAAAAGAAAGCTAAAACGAAAGTCCAGGAAAATAAAAAAAGGCTCGAATCTCGGGACATAAAATTCATGTCGATGATTAAAATGATCAAGAGTAACGCATATTATTTTCGCATAATTAACATTACACATCCCCTTATTTAGAGCACGCAAAATCCATGTATTACCATGATAAACTCAATATAAAATATCACAATACAATCTCAAATCTTTTGTTTTCTCAGAACCATCAAGTCACTCACTGACTTCCAAAAACTCTCTCAGTAAAAAACAACATTTCGTAATTTTTAGACAAACAAAAGTGAAAATACATCAATATATGTACAACACTACTTGCAACCACACATGTACATATTGATGCAGTATACTCGCGCTACTCGATCTTTAACCAACACATGAACCGGATAGTACACCAACTCATGATTGAGTATAGTACATGTTCATAATCACACACGCATGAACCAGATGACGACAGACTAGAGCTCTAACTGTTTTTGGGTCTTTCATCTAAAGGTTTTAATCCCTAATTGTTGCCATAAGATATGAAATCCCGTATTTATAAAATTATATATTTTGAAGATTTAATATTTTACCATTTAATTTATAAATTATAACTATATATATAGTTATATTCATTATATATATATATATATATATAAAAGAACCCATATTATTTGCATGGCAATGTGCACGTTTAGGTCAATCTTAGTATATTTTGATAGATATTTAAATTGAGGGATAAAATTAGACAAACTTATCTTATCATAAATTATATTGTATTTTATTAAAAACTTAGGAGTTAATGCTTAAAAGATATATTTGGTAAGAAGCTGGAGGTGGACTTATTAGCATGAGGTGTTAGATTAAGAGTATTGTAGCTAGAGATGGTGCCACCATTCTTGCTAGCTAGGTGGCGAGACATGCAAAGATTGAAAATAGCCTCAAGGAGTTGTTATCCTTGACTTTTGTTGCCGCCAAGAATATTAACCAATTAGGGATTTCTTATTGCCTACTCCTACTACTAGAAATATGGCACGAAATGCAAATTTCCTTGACTTATTTTTCCAATGGGTCCCACATTCCTGTCCAACCAACACGCGTGCATGCATTCTAAATACATCTGTGTCTAAATAGATTCAATATGCCATCAACAACGGCAAGAACTTGTCCCATACGTTTTATTTCTACAACCAGTCAAACAAAAACTATGAGTCGCTAAGAAAAACTCATTCAAATGAAAGATTTGTAAGAGACATAACACAGATCTAGCCCAAACCAGACAATGGGTTAGATTTACAAACACAATACCAGGAATTAAATTTAAAACTGGACCAAGAAATCCAGACACAACACAATACCAAGAAAAGGACAAGAATTTGAAGAAAAAAATAATAGACAGAAGGGGTGCGTATAGATTTGAAGCAGAAAAAGAGAGAAGTTTCAGAAAGTTGTTGAGAAAATATAAGAGAGAGAGAGAGAGAGAGTAATGGAAGGAAAAGAGGAGGAAAATGAGGAAACAGTGGCAATCTTGGGGAGTAAAACGAGAGTGTGGTTAAGAAAATAATAATTGAGGAGAGAGAGAGAGAGAGAGAGAGGTAGGAATCTTGGGCTGAGAAAAAGGAAAGGTTTTTTTTTTTTTTTTTTTTTTTTTTTTTTTGGGTGGGGTGGGCATACGAGGTGCCCCACATTTGAAGTTGGGATTAATCCTAGTTTGGAATTTGGTTTGTTTTTGGTCACAAAGTCCTTTCAACGGGTTTCAAACCTCTGTCATTGAAATATCAAGTAGCTCGCCAGCTAAAGGTAGCTATTTGTCAACCACATCATATCTTGTAGTTAAAACCATAGGAAAGCCATTTTGGTATACATTTCACTTAGTTGGTATAATGAGTCTTTTATTTATATATTTCTAAAATTTTAATTAAGTTCTTGTGTTGATTCATGTTCACTATTGGAAATGGTAGAGAACTTAGGCACTGATTAATTTGTCAGTGCTTTATTTTCTAATAGGCTTTTTATCACAAATGGTCATTCATGTTTATGAAATTATCACGAATGGTCCTTGAGGTTTTTTTGTGACACTGATAGTCCTTAACGTTTGGGCTTTTTATCACAAATGGTCCATGCCGTTATAAATTCTGTTAAGTGTGACGTGGAAGATAAATGGAGCCTACATGTTCAATTACATTGTGACATGTGGATAAAAAAATAATTAAATAATTTTTTAAAGAAAATTCCTTCTTTTTTTTCTGCAACTTTTCATCCCCCTTCCTTACTCCGTCTC